AGCACTGCAAGCCATAAATAGCAAAAAACCGGCACATACACGACCACAACGATACAACAAAATTGAGTAGGGTTAATAAGGCTGCCCGATCTCCGAACTATACTAGGTTACTAAGCCACAAGACTTACATAGAGTCGCGCAGAAAAAAATGGTAGCTGGATTAAAATAAATATATAATATCACTAAAATAGCTTTAAGATGCAATTGGTTTTTTTACGCGAAAAAAATAAAGGTATTATTCACGAATCTCGCCAACAAACTTATAACTTTACGAATATTAACGCATTAAATAAAAAGATCTTTATACATAACTAAATAACATGAATAAAAAGAAATAATATATTGTAGTTATTTTGGGCATTAAATCCTTTGTATTTACAAGCTAACTTAACATTGATAAACAAGAAACAATGTATGAAATATTCATGAACTTAAATAGCTTATTTAAACGATTGATCAAAATTATATTTTTGTGAATTCAAAATGGCGAAAATTCTCGAAACAAAATTGAAAGTCAAAACGAAAGTCAAAAAGAGATCAAAGTCAAAACGAAAGTCAAAGAGAACGTCATAGTGAAAGCCAAAAAAGAGTCAAAGTGAAAGTCAAAGTGAAAGTCAAAGTCAAAACGAAAATTTAAGTGAAGTCAAAGCGAGAGTCAAAGTGAAAGTCAAAGTCAAAACGAAAATATAAGTGAAGTCAAAGCGAGAGTCAAAGTGAAAGTCAAAGCGAAAGTCACAGTCAAAGCAAAAATCAAAGTAAAATCAAAGGGAAGTTAAAGCGAAGACCAAGTGTAAGTCAAAACAAAGGACAAAATAAAAATCAAACTTAACTTTACCGGTAATCGGTTTTCGAAGTCATATTTAAACCAGAAAAAAATCTGGCTGTCATTTTTTCTGAGCGACGTTATGTAAGGCTTAGTCACCTAGTATAGCTCGGAGATCGGACAGGCCCTTATTTGGCCTTTATGTGTAAATTCCCCTAAAATTTAATTATATACAAATGTTGTGCTCAGATTAACGCTTGCCTCAGATTGGGTGCGTAACCTTTCGGTCAATAAGGACAAAAGAAAAATTATATGTATAGAAATTATTAAAAATTGAACGTGCTGAAAAACTTAGACGGGAAGAATATGCCGTAAAATTTAGGCAAAAAAAAAAACCTATATGTATAGAGAGAAAAAAAGTATGTTTTAATTGGAAATAGAATGTGCCGTGAAAATTCAGACAAAGTAATTCAAAGAAAAGAACGGAGGTACTGAAGAGACTTAATGTAAAAGAATGCTACTGTTGGTGGTAAAATACTAGGTAAGACGACGCCAAAGTGATTCAAAGATATAGAATGCCACTGGAGTTAAGAAAGACGCCAAAAGTGATTAAAAAATGCTACCAGTGAGAAAAACGTCGGAGAAATTCAAAAATCCAAGAATAAAAAGAATTCAAATAAAAGGTCTCTTATTTACGTTAAATTGATAATTGAAAAGCTTGTCAACAAAGTGACAGAGCGTTCATTATTGCGAAATCAGATGACTTTATATGATCAGATGACTTTATAGATCACATGTTCAATTTGTCGTTTAACTTGTTATGGTTATTTGTGTACAGCTTTATGGTGTCTTGTTAGATACGAGTATTTTCTGGTTAATATAGTTGTTAAAAGGTGAATTACTATGAGAATGGTAAGGGAAACAAGGGGTAATCATATGGTTCTGAATATGTAAACAGTAATGTATTTAAGGAGCTTTTGGTTAGTAGAGAGATTATCTTTCTTTTCGCTATCGCTCGCTTTGGAGTTAAGGCTGGCTCTATCGTCCATTGGTTCTGTGGCTGCTGTATGCAATGAAAGTATCTCGTATTTGATATTTAGGCTCCGCGGCTGCTATAGGCAGTGCAAGGACCTTGTGTTTGGTGTTTTGGCTTCACAGCTGCGGTATACAGCGTATGAACCTCACAATTTGGTGACTAGACTCCGCAGCTTCTGTACGCAGTGCAAGAACCTGTCTTAGTAACATTCACCAATTCTCTTGATATGATATGTTTATATATGGTCATAGACATGCAATAGGTTATTGGATTGTTTGGGATGGAGTGTTCCTTTAGAGATAGTCATTAAGTTTAAGCATATTTGATATAGAGCCTGTAAAAGCCTGTAAAACCTGTAAATGATAGCGGACGGATTTCCCATATGTTCTTCCTCGTTTAAATAAAGTCATCTGATCGAGCAATAATAACAATAGGTTACGCATCTCACCTGATGATCTGCATCAGCTGTGATCCAACAATACGTACATATGTACGAACGTACATAATTGTTAAGGCTAAAGCCTATCGCTATACAATGACATAATTTCTTAAAAGATCAACAATTTGATTATACAGAATTACATATTAGTTCCATATTTAATTTTTTTTTCGAAAAAAAATGATATTACTACCAAATGAATGTCTTTTTGAAATACTTAATAATCTTCGTAAACACCATGGAAGTTTATTTTCATGTCTTTTTGCAAATTGTCAATGGTGTAGAAATGCTGTACAATTATTATGGAGTGAGCTATGCGCACACCTTGACGACGAACAAATTATAAAAATTTATTTCTTATCATTAAACATGGAAGAAAAATCTCAACTTATATCATTAGATATAACACTTCCAAATAATCAAAATCTTTTATTTGATTATCCTTCTTTTACTAAATCCATTATGGTGTCTTGGCTGATCTCTGGAATTATAAATTGGATTCGAAATGAAGGTCATGGTCCTTGAGACTTAATGGTTTATCCTGATGCTGATTACTTTGTAATCAAAGATGATAAGTATAAGGAATATGATGATTTGATGAAATTCATGAATGTAATCCAATTAATCAAATGTTCTTTGGTTGAAATGTTTCTACAAAAATATATTATTCTTGAAGATTTAGAAATTGTTGGTGTTATTCACGAAAAATTTGGAGGAAATTTCTAGAAATTCTACTATTACTGAATTAAGCTTTTCTGATAATCAACTCGGTTTAAGAGAAGTAAAAATTCTTTTTGAACTTTTATCTTTGGAATCTTTACTTCTTATAGATAATCAATTTAATTTGTAAATCAAAGAGCGTTGATAAAATCTCTTTCTAAGAATATTACTTTAACTTCTTTGTATCTTCAATTTAATAACCTTGAATCTGAATATAGAAATGCATTAGCTGAGGCTCTTGTTAAAAATACAACTCTCACCATTGACGATAATCAACTTTTTAATGGAATAAAAGCATTAGCAAAGGCTCTTTGTGAAAATATTACACTAATTTTTTTTTTTTATAATAATAACCTCAACTTAGAAGACGGAAAAGTCTTTGCAGAAGCTCTGTATAAAAACTCAACATTGAAAACTTTAAGTCTTGGTGGCAAAAGGGTGTGGCGACTTAGTAAAGTTGGCAAGTTGTCACACCTCCAGGCAGCAGGACTGGAGTTCGAATCCTACTGGCGACAAATATTCGAATTTACAGAAAATGCATTTGGAAGACTGCATTAGGAAATTTTAAAATTAGATTGTAATCGATTAAAATTATAAAATTATCATCAATTAATAGCACCCCTATCGAGTATAAATGATTACGATTATTAACAATATATATCAAAAATTCATAAATTATAATCAAAACTTGACAACGAATTTTCTCGATAACTAGTGATTAGAGTTAGCTACAATTTTTACTAAAGATAGTATCAATATTCCTCTATAATATATTTAAATTTTATCTGAATTGGTCAAGTAGTTCCTGAGTAATTGTGTCTATATGTCATGGTCAAGAGAGAGACTTTTAATACCAAAGCCAATTCAGCAAAGAACCATAAGCATTAAAGAAAGGAACAAAGTATTTTATTTATTTATGTGAAGCACTAAAACTAAGCAACTGATTCTTTATTTATTTACAAGGTCTAACGAATACTCCTAGAGTATTATTCAACTAACCCAACTAATCCACTAAACAAGAACTAACTTATCGACCAAAAGACTAAAGACCTAAGAAGAACTTCCAAAAAGACCTAATCGACTAATTACCTTTTCCCTCTTTATATCCCATTCCCCTTTCTACCATTGTTCAATGATTACTAACATCAATGATTACTAAATGACTACATTCCTTATACGCATGCACTAATTACTATACTGTCATCTCTCTTTGCATAAAGAATTGTCTACTAATTGCATATTCTCTGCATCTATACTAATTACTACATATTACTATCTGATTACATATTGAAAAATAATGGTCACACAGAGCATATGATTAAATCTGGTATTGTAACATATTCCTCCGCTTGAAGGATGAGCTCCTGCGAATCCGCATATTAACAAAAGTTCTCTCGGTTTTTTTTCAATTCTATTCGATCACGTGCCTTCAATTCAAGTTGACTGTTCATAAATTGCAAGTTCTAATTGTATATCAACAGTTATGTTATACTCATTTCATTTTACGTTGTCATGTTTAATTCGAATCAATGTTATTAGCATTACTAATAAAATTTTTTTTTTTTCAGCATTTCATGCAATCATGTGATCCCGATTTTAGATAATTATTCACACCTTGAAAATTTCAATTGTACTTCAGCAGTTAAGTAATTGTAATTTCATTTGAATTCATTATAATTCGAATAGTTCTAAAAGTTTTTTTTTTTTTTTTTTTTTTTTTTTTTTTTTTTTCTTCATTTCACTATACTAATTTAGTTCAATTTCATTCTCCAGGATCGAAGACCAAATCGACAAGATCACATGCTGATATTGTTACTACGGCAATTTCTACTAAACCAATTCTGAATGGCGTCCTTTTCTCAGGTTTGTTTTCATTCTTTTTCAAACGGCATTTGATTCTTTTATCATTATTGCTATTTTCGTCTACTAATATTTCTCGATTCTCTTCCTTTAATTCAACATTCATCACAAATAGGCTTTTTCTATTTCGATTACCATTCCTTCCTAGATCGGCTTGTCCATCTGACTTGCTATTTTTAACGCTTGTCCCATACCTTCTACTTAACTTGTCTCTTTCGACATATACCCTATTAAACATTTCTTTGGTAGGTTCTATTTTGTTAAGCTCCTTTTCTTTGTACGCAGTCATCCGGAACTCACTAACTTTTCTCAACCATTTCTCACATTTACGATATAGGGCTTCTCTTTCTAAGGGTCTTTCAGGTAAAACAACATTTACTTTCTCATCCCAATTATCGTCGTCAACTAATGTTTCTTTGTCATCCTCATCTTCGTCTGTCTTTTCATTATTAAGTTCATCCATATCCTGGTAATACATAAGCGTCTTACAATTTTCTTTTTCAATACCATTCCCATTTTGGTAACAAAAGCCACGACTAGATTTAATTTCAGCAAGTTGGGAAGGTTCTTTGGAATCAATTAAGTGTGAGGTTCTTATTTTTCTCCAATCGTTTTTGATCATTTTTTTTAACTCATTAACTCTTTTACTTTAGGAATCACAAACCTTATCAAGACCTTTTCCGATTTGCTTATTATGTCCTCCAGGATCAAATTGTCCATCCGATTTTCCATCCACAGTACTTGTTGAATACTATATACGTAATTCATCCATTTCGGCATTGATCACTTTAGGCGTTCTTTTGGTAGGTTCGATTTTTGTAGGTCTTTCTACTAATCGTGTGACCATCTGGAACTTACTAACCTTTTCTATCCATTTTTCGCATTCATGTTGCAAAGCTTCTTTTTCCAAGAGTCTTTTGGGTAGGTCACATTTTTCTTCTTTATCGTATTCGCCACCACCAACCAATGTTTTGCGGTTATTTTTACTTAAGGTTTTCACATCCGAATTTTCTTCAATCATACCTATATCATTTTGGTAGTACCATCCAAGAATGTTTTGCTCCTCTAAGTCGTTTCCTTCAGCAAGATTCGAAGAATGTTCCAATTCTCCATGTATAACATTGGTTGATTCCTCATATGTTTCCTTAGTGGAGCCTATTTCACATAGTTCTTGGGGTTTAACAAAGGCTTCATGTTCATTCTTTTCAGGCACATTGCATTCAACGATTCCATCCTCTACCTCTGCAGACTTTTTATTATGGACAGCTAATTCAGACTTTTCCTTTTTGATACTAGTCTTATTCTGATAATAGGGTCTAACGTTATCTTCATCATCGGCACAATCTGCGACAACAAGTTCCTGATAATCATTGGATGCCTTATATTCATCCACTTCAGCTCCAGTATCGTCGCAATGACTATCATGAAGAACATTCGATTCGTGGTTAATACCTACTAGATTTTGGTAATAGACAGGTGCCTTAGGTTGGTCCTTTTCAACTCTAACTCCATCTTGATGATTGTCTTTTTCCACAAGTTTGTTTCTAGGTGGGTGTTTATCATTATTACAATTGTCATCATCCTCTAAAGATACGCCTAAATGCTTGGACTCCTCCATTTAAGCAATATTGCTTGAATCTGTGATCCATCGTTAGTCTGAATATTATCACCATTTCTAATATTGCTTTGATTACCCAAAATCTGTGTTTGAAGAACATTCATATTCTCATTATCACAGCGAATTACATTCAGGCAGTCTCTTGCAATATGGCCCGGCTGCTGACACGAAAAACAAATTAATCCACAGCCAACTCTTTCTCTATGATTCTATTGACTGCAGGACACCTATTATTATTATGGTTATTATTGCCACTTTTTACTGCTGTCACTACCTCTTGTAGCAACGAAATCCTATAGCCCATCGAATTCGGAGATATCATATTGGATGGCGAATTCGTTACCAACAGTTGTAACTGAAATGGCACTGATTGTTGCATTGGCATTTTGGATTGCAAAACTTGCTGGGGTGGTAAGGCCCACGATTGTTGAGAATAAGGTTGCTGAGGCAAAGATCCAAACACTGTGTTATAAATTGCCACAGTTCCACAAAAAGCTAATTCACATCCAAATGTCAACTTACACATCTGAGCTCTATCGATAGCCTCTTGAATCGTATTAGGCATAAAGGGTCCAACTGCCAAATATAAATCAGGACGAAGACCTCGCACAACCATTTGTGCCTTTATTACCTCAGGGTATTGATTGCCTACTTTCATTAAACGTCGAAATAACACCAACACGTCAGTCGCATATTGATCTACCGTTTCGTCTATACGTTGCTGTCATGTTGAGAGTTTTGTATTCCGCTGAGTTATCAATACATATGTACAAAATTTAGTATTAAATTGGTGCACAAAGCTTTGTTCAGGAATGAATTCATTATTCCAATATTGAATCTTTGGTTCCTTATTCCTTCGATCCATCCACCAAAACGCTGCAAGTCCCAAAAGGTAAGCACCAACAACAGAAAGCCTTCTTTTCCCCACAATATTATTGGCCTCAAAAGCCCTATCGACGGCCTCTAACCATTCTATGGGGTCTTGATTGCTTCTAGTAAAAACAGGTATGTCCACAAAGTTTTGTTCCCACATATTCGACTGGGGTTCTTGTTGTCTTGACAAAACGTTTATCATGTTTTGGAGTCGTTTTCATAGTAGATTCATATGAGTCGGGCCCATTGGTTGATCAAGATTTTCGTTATTCATTTGATCTCAATTAGAATTCCAAATATTCATTGTGGCTTTAATTCAATATAGAACGGATCCGGCCTTTGTTTAATTTATTTTTCTCAGCACAAAAAAATTATTTAATTAAGCTTTCTTCAGTACAACACAAATTCTTTAAAAGTTTTTTTTTTTTTCTAACACAATCCGTTCCAGCTTTTGTTTCTTTAATTATGGTATTCCAACACAAAACGACCTTCGCTTTCTGCTCTTTTTGTTCATTCAATCCACAAAATATACTGCTTTAACACTGCTTTTCTTTTGTATCATTCACAATTTCAGCTTTATTCATCCACACAATCGGCACCATAAATGTCACAGTCAAGGGAGAGACTTTTAATGCCAAAGCCAATTCAGCAAAGGACCGTAAGCATTAAAGAAAGGAACAAAGTATTTTATTTATTTATGTAAAGCACTAAAACTAAGCAACTGATTCTTTATTTATTCACAAGGTCCAACGAATACTCCCAGAGTATTATTCAACTAACCTAACTAATCTACTAAACGAAGAACTAACTTATCGACCAAAAGACTAAAGACCTAAGAAGAACTCCCAAAAAGACCTAATTGACTAATTATCTTTTCCCTCTTTATATCCCATTCCCCTTTCTACCATTGTTCAACGATTACTAACATCAATGATTACTAAATGACTACATTCCTTATGTGCATGCACTAATTACTATACTATCACCTCTCTTTGCATAAAGAATTGTCTACTAATTCATATTCCCTGCATCTATACTAATTACTACATATTACTATCTGATTACATATTGAAAAATAATGGTCACACAGAGCATATGATTAAATCTGGTACCGTAACACTATACGATAGTTAATTTTTTTAAAAAATTAATTATCGTATAGAAGTGATTACTCAAGAACTACATAACCAATTCTGATAAATTTAAATATATTATAGAGGAATAACGATACTTCTTTAGTAAAAATTGTAGTTAATTCTAATCACTAGTTATCAAGAAAATTGTTGTCAAAGTTTGATTATAATTTACAAATTTTTTAATAATCAATATTAATTGATTAATGATTTATATTGGTATTAATCAATATATATCTATAATCGAATATAATTGATAGTGTTTCTAATCGATTAATAACCCCTTTATTGATTGTAATCAATTAAAATTAATTGATACTAATCAATTAATCCAATTATAATTGATATATATCCTCTTAAAAAATTTTCTGATGTGTATTCTATTGGGTTATAGAACCTGTAATGAGGGTCGCACCAGCTTGTACTGAGAGGTAGTGGAACATGTAGTGTGATGTACAAGTTACACAAAAACTGAGTGAAGCTATCAAATAAATCTAGCGAATTTACAGAGTACAAAAGCAGTGTTGAAAATCATAAGTTCACAGTGTTCACAAGGGTTAAAATTTTTTAAACTAATTAAAAATTTTTTATTTTATGTTCACATTTGTAAACATAAATAATTTTTATGTAATTAATAAAATTTTATTTATAAACATTATTTTTTTTTAATATGAATATGATAAAAACAAAGTTTGTTCACAAAAATCATTATACTGTATGGAAGCCTGTTTGGCAAGACCTGAATAGAGAGGTAGCACAGATCTTCGATGGTTACTATATAAAGGATGATTAACCAGATACCAGAAAACCAGACAGAACCAAGGTGTTTGCCAAAGCACTAATATCAACCAGGCTGATAAGGAAAAACAGAGAAAGGGTTCTGGCCCTTCCGGGCTATTGGATTGGAAGTTTGGGTTTCTGAAATATGAGAGGGAGTCTGTAAAGTAGGTACTGGGATTTGGGTGAACTCTACAAGGGCTGTAGTAGGTAACTGTAGCAGCCTTGGCTCGCAAGTACTCGTTCTTGGACTTGGTGTAAGTTACTAAAAAATCCTAATCTAGAAATATGTAGGACATAGAAAGATTGGGGAGCACCTACTTTGCCTACCTGTGGAGACCTATGGGCAACCAATGGGGTAACCAAGCCTAGATAAGATAAGTAGGGGGCACTTCAGTATAAAGATACCTTGCTTAGAATAATTGGTGGGTATATATATCTGTAATACTAAAAAATGTAGATCTATATAATCAACAATAAAACATCAATAAAGCTTGGTCCTGAAGGACACCTTAAAAAAAAAAAAAAAAAAAGTCTTGGTGGCAATCAATTTGATCATAAAGGCGTAATTGTATTGATGAAAGCCTTTTGTAAAAATGAATCTTTAACTTCTTTTGCACTTTGGAAATGTCATATTGGTTTTCAAGATGGAAAAGCAGTGGCTGAAGGTCTTTACAAAAATACCACTTTAACTTGTTTAAGTATTGGTGCTAGTATTATTGGCTTCAAAGATGAAAAATTGATTTTTGAGGCCCTCAGTAAAAATACTACTTTGTGTACTTTAAAACTAGGCTTTAATCAAATTGGTTCTAAAGATAAAAAAGTAATAGCAAGTGCTCTTTGCATCAATAATATACTAGCTAATACACTAACTTTCTTAGATCTTTAGAAAAATAATATTGGCTTTGTGAGTTCAAAAGCATTAGTGACAGCTCTTTGTATAAATACTTCTCTAATTGATTTAAACCTATTGTTTAATCAACTTGGTGATAAAGAAATTATGTTATTGATAGAATCTCTTTACAAAAATACCACTTTGAAATCTTTGAACCTCAGTTTAAATGAAATTAGTTTTGAAGGCAGAAAGGCTTTTACAAAGCTTCTTGGCAAAAATAACACTTTGATCATCTTAGTCCTTAATAATAATCAAATTAGATTTAAAGGAAGACTTGTAATAGTAAAAATTCTTTGTGAAAAGAATAATACTTTGACCTTTTTAGATCTTCAACGTAATTATGTAAGCATTGATAGACAAAAAGAATTAGCAAAGATTCTGGTAAAAAAGCTATTTGAAATTTAGATTATTATATTTGAATATTTATACTAATATTGATATTGGTACAGATAAATTAATGATTTATAAAGTATATAATAAAAATTTTTTGCCCTATAAAAGGGCATATTGCTATATATAACATCAGCAAACATTTATTTCTACTATGTTGAATACACATGTTGAAATTTCTGAACAAATATCATGTCGATAAACAATTCATTCCAAATTTTAAATTATGTTTATTAATATCATGATACTAATCAGGCATTCATATTAGCCAAGCTATTTATCACTGCCATTATAATGTTTTTCAGTACTTTTAAGGTAAGACGTTACTATCAATA